CAAACGATTCGGATGTCACAGATGATGGTGGTGTCAGCAAATACTGACTGTATTGGGCTGTCGCAGGACGGAAACCCGTGTTCGAATTTTGTCCTTCGACTGGTAAAAGTGGCTCTCTTGTGCAGTCGACATAGTTCTCGTTCCACTTATCATGCTGTGCAGATTTTTCCTCCAATTCTCTTTGCAACATATTCTCTTTTTGGGCCAGCTGATCACTCAATAATATCATGTCCATTTCAATCCCGCGACCATCAGGACGAGGTGGTATACGAAGTGGAGGTGGAGGTCGTTGCACATTTTGGAAGTCCAAAGTCCTCTTCTTCTGTGGCTTTGAAATGTCAGTAGGATGCTCAACCTTTTTTTCAGGGCATAAGAGTATGCATACCTTCTGGTTGATGAGAAGTTCGTCATCAGGATCACTCTTGATACCCAGCTTGACCTTGAGGTTCTTTATTTCACTACGAGACACGAAGACAGAACGTTCGCATTCCAAGAGTTGTTTCTTAATAGTTTCTCGTTCAGTCGCCATTTTGATCAGGAGCCTTGCTTCTTCCATTTCCTTTCTCAGTCTCCTAACTTTATCTGTGATTTGCATGTCTCGTGCTCTGGTTTTCCTGGTAGCCCTGACTTCACGACGGCGGAAGCAAACATATGGATCGCCTTCGTCAATATCCTGGTGCGTCTCGAACTTCAGGCTAGGCTGAATGCCACGATTCTCACATGCTTGCCGTCGAAACTTCCAGTATTCATATATATCCTTCACATTGCCAGGTATTTTTTCCTCCCCTCGTTCCTTGATAGCTTCTTTCATGGTCTCAAAGTTCACCAGAGTATTATCCACAGCGGCATAGGGGGCGTGAGTATCAGCAGTTTCTTCGAAAAGTTCCATGAGCTTTTCAAAGTCATCTTCCGAAAGCTGTTGATTCGAAAGAGTCTTTTTCTTATTATAATCTTTTAGGAAAATGTCATCCTCGGTGGTCATGTTATATTGACAACCAGTACATTCTTCCACTGTCTGCGAAAAGCGGATATAGGTAGCAGGTTTGTCAAATTTCCTCGAGTATAAGGATTCATAGTCAATATCGGTACCTTCCTGTGCAGGAGGCGCCGGAATCTCTTGCGGGGCATCCTTATCACCCGAAGAGTGACTAGCTGCAAGAGCAGCTTGAAGATGGTACTCCTAATTGACACACAAAAGTCAGCAACATTCATCACTATCACGTGATATTATGGTAAGATTGAACACGTGATACTAACATTTTCTTCAGCTTTTTCGACACCAGTCTCGACTTTGTATTGACCTTGTAAAGAATCATATTCGGCGGATTCTATTTGGTCTTCTCGTAAAATTTGTTGATGGGTGGATCTGTTGAGCTTCTTTTGGCGCACCACCCTACCAGCCGGTTGTGTCCTCATCTTGATGATGAATTGACTCCGATATGTAAAATTAACGCGACAACGCAATTTTGACGCGTAAAAAATTCAAACAATAAAAAATCATTCATGACTGATTGTTTAATCCATTTTTTGAATTGAAAATCGATGTCAGGGTGAATATTTTGATGATAGAAAATTGTACCTTGCCACGTTCCGACGTTCGTGATACCTGCAAATTTTTCCTGGTTCAATGTGTCAATAACTCTAATTTGGGTAATGTTGGCCTGATATGGTTACTATATGAGGCAACAACAAAGAACATTCAAGAACTATACTAAATTAGGGATCCCTGTAATATCAAACTTCTGATTGATAGGAGATTTGAACCATATTGTGATATTGATTATATACGGAGTATAGGTAACTTTATTAAATATTCTATACAACTTTCAATATAATCACCAAAATTCATTGACAATTGGGGGGGAATTAATTATCAAGCTTTAGGAAGTAAAAAGAGAATATTTCGAATTGATAATATCGTATTTTGAAAGGAAAAATACCTAGTTTTATCATACTCGAATCTTACTTTTTAGCCTCTCTCCCCGCCCTTCTAGGAAACCTTCTATCCATCCACTTACGCTGTCTTGCGACCACCTCCTTTACTACACCAACCTTACTACTTAGTATTGCGACCCTCTTCCTTTTCTTCATCAACTCTACTACTTAGTATTGCGACCACCCTACTTTACTTCCACCTACTTCACTGCACCAACTTTCCTGCACCAGCTTTACTTCACCAACCTCACTACTAAGTATTGCGACCACCTTCTCTCGTTCAGCAACCTTACTACGAACGAACAATTACGCATCGAGCAAACAATCACATACCGAATAAATATAATCCGTCAAGATGGGAAATACAAGCAGTGCAGTATTGGAGAATATTGTGCAAGGGTCTAACTGTGCGGAAATACATTCTTCTAAATTACTGTCTTTGACTGGTTATTGGAAGACTCGAGCGCTAATCTTGGGTGCGAGGCAGTTGATCGAGATGAGGTTGATAGATTAAGAAAACGTTTTATGAAGTTGGATAAGGTGCGCAATAATTTGGTTCGGCGGTGTACTCAGTGTGCTGGGTGTAAAGTTTGGGAAGTGTGGAAATTGTGTTGGATCAAGGAGGGCTAATGGAGGCTATGTCTACAGGATAACTCTGGTACTATTGAACGTGAGGAGTTTCTCAGCCTTCCGCAAATCTCATCAAATCCTCTAGCTACTAGGTTTGTCTATCTTCTCTACTTCGGCTTATCACATACAATTGCCTAAGATGAGATTGATACTAATTATTCTCCGTCTTGCAGAATGATCGCCATATTCGATGAAGATGGAGGTGGAGATGTAGATTTTCAGGAATTCGTTAGTGGGCTCAGCGCATTTAGCAGTAAAGGAAACAAGGAACAAAAGCTCCGTTTCGCATTCAAGGTCTATGATATTGACCGTGATGGCTACATAAGCAATGGGGAATTATTCATCGTTTTGAAGATGATGGTGGGAAGTAATTTGAAGGATCAACAATTACAACAAATTGTTGATAAGACAATTATGGAGGCAGATTTGGATAGGGACGGAAAGATTAGTTTTGAGGAGTTTACAAAGATGGTGGAGAACACGGATGTGTCTATGAGTATGACTTTAGGTGAGTTTGACTCTTTTATTTGTGTGGGAGGACGGTGTTTCTGCACTTTACTGGTGTAACTTTACTAATGGATGTGGTAGATCAATTTTGATTTGAGATCATGGAAGAGAGATGAGAGATCAGTAATATAGCCAACAATGCATATTTTCACACACCAAATCAAATCAGAGTACAGCACGACCAACTCAGATGCAGGGCACAGCATGAGCCATGGTTGAAGCTCTTTCAGCAGATCGATTATCAAAACTAGGGTTTTGATATGCATTGAAAGCGTGTGGTTAGGTAGATGTTCGGGACACGGATTTTTACTTAACACCAAAAGAATTTGATAACCTCTTTACTAGGCTACTTTTTTGTTTGTTCCTTGTGCACGTCTATAAGAGAGTTCATTCTGCGGAGTTCGGTTCATGAACTAGTGTTCATGGTCATATTGTGAGGCTTGTCCATTTGGCTTCAAATGTTGGATATTGATTTTTAAACAAACATTTCTCATACATAGTCATTATCAAGTTTTCGTTAGCAAGTTTCTATCAGCTAGCATCTAATGAGTTGAAAATGTGATTCTCTCCTGACAGGGGTCCAAGATGGCTCTTCACAATGTTTGTATAAATTTCATGAGTCTTGACCGATGAGACAGCATATATGGGCTTACCACTGGAGTGGCTATGCAGCCTTATATGTATGGATCATTAATTTGTACAGCCCTTCTTACCTAGCTTTGATCTTCGTGGGTCAGGCCATTTTGTTGAATGGTCCCCTGATTTCTGCAACCCCTTGCCGGCCCGTGGTCGGTCCGAATTATGAGATGTGCAACAAATTCTATTTATTACACTTCTATTGATCACGAGAGTGGGGATTAGTACGCACTGGCTTCTATTCCTTTATTTGGGGGTTACTTGCTTTTATTTTTAATTTGAGGCTTATTTTTAGGTTTCGGGTTGTCGGCTAGTAACCAGGAGGTTTTGATAGCAGATGCAGACGCACTTGAAGTGAAGTCCACATAATGAACTATGTATACCCATATTGGATTATGTCATGAGAACTGGCGTGTAAGATCGTTTGCTGTTGAAGTTGGAGTAGGTGGGTCACGGTTTGTCTGAGTTGTTGAATTTCGGATGATTTGGTTAGTGAGGGGCTTGTACGACGATAATTCAACGGAAAGAGAGAGGTAAATGGAAAGGGAGATATCAGATGGACGGATGTATTTCTATGAAGCTCTTCGTGTTATGAGATCTGTGTCAGGGTGAAAGTATATTCTCGGTTAGTGTATGGGTATACACCACGATACAACAGCACAGAGGCATTTGAATATAACCTCACTTCCAACCATCTCTTCCACATACGACCATAGACTGAGGAGAATTGGGCATCCCGTCCGCTCTGCCATACACAAGCCTCAGATCGGTGGATTAGTAGTTGGGTGGGTGACCACCAGCGAATCCCTACTGTTGTATGTTTTTTTTCTTTTGTTGTTTCTCGTTGTGGTCTTCGGTGTTTGGTTGGGTGGGGCATGCGAAGGAGGTGGGAGATAGGGGAGTGGGTGACGAGTGTGAGAGGCGAAATGTATGGGCAGAAGAAAAATCGAAGGTAGGACGCCAGAGGACACTTGCATGTTGGTGCAGCAGAGGCCCCTCGACTAGCATTACACATGACGAGAAGCTCGGTAAGTCAAGCATAGTCTCCACCAACTTATCCACCCACTCACCACATTACCTAAGATTTTGCACTGTAAACACCTATTTTTCCCTTTCCACGCATTTTCTTCTTTCTTTAATCCTCAAATCCGCACGATGACTATAAATACATACAGGATTTTACCATCCCCAACACAAAACAAAAGATAAAAAAACCCAAAAATTAATATTTCGGACAAAAAATATATCTTCACACACATATAGATAAATGTATGGACAAAAGGATAGATATATGCCCGTTCTAGGAATCGAACCTAGGATCTCATCATTTGTAGGTATAGGTACTAGTGATGCGCTTTACCGCTAAGCCAAACGGGCGTTGTTTGTTGGTTGATGCTGGGGTGGATGGGTGTTAGGGGTTTATCTATGGAGGGGAATATATGGAAGAATAGGTAGTAGGAGTTTATATATGGTAGAGAGGGAGGTGAGGTGAGGTGAGGTGAGGCTTTGATGGGAGGGGGAGAAGGTGGAAGGTGTGTAAAGAGACGAGGGAGCAGATTATATGGTAGACATTCAATGATTGTAAAAAAGAGGAAATGATTATTTTACTTAAAAACTTGAAGAGATAATTAAAGTGCAGTACTTGGAGACTAGAGGGCTGTTGTTAAAATAGAGAGAATATTAAAATAGATTGTATTTTTGCTAGATGGATATTGCTTTTTGGTTATTTGATTCTGAGGTTTCTTCATTATCTATATATCTATCCTCTATTATATTCACTTTTCTTTTCTTTTCTTTTCTTCCCAGAGATCGAGGTTTTAGCTAGAGTTTAGGAGAGTGGAGCAGACTCTTGTATTTTAGTATATCGACGGGATATACTAACATATACCAATCTTCAACTCCTGAAATATAAAATCATCAAGGACTCCTGTTCCAATCAAAAGTAGTCTTTTATGGAAACTTGAGAATTTAGAAAATTAAAAAATTAAAAAGTACCTCTAAACAACTCGAATCCTGAGGAGGACAAGACTCAACACCTGTACGCGGTGTCCTCTACAAACCTCCAGCTCTTTTATTTAATTATTAGAGTCTGCAGAGCTAAGTTTAAATTATTTGATAGAGTCATAGTGATTGGAAAAGAAAGAGGCATTCGATCGCAACGTTTTTTGTCTTCGAATTGGCTAATGGTAAAGGCCAGATCTCGGTTTTTTGACAATCGTATTATCGGATTATGCTTTCTATAATACTATTTTTATTACAAAACAAAAAACAATATTATCATTTACAATAATATACTACAAAATCATCTTCAAGATCCTTTTAGGGTATCGAATACAATTTATCAAATTCGGTTTTAAGGTTCAGGCTTTACCTCCTTCGATTCGAATCAAAACAACAACAATTTATATATCTAAAGGAATTATATAGAACGATCCGAGCTAATGATATATCTGTTATAGAATTCGATGAAAAATATACTATATATAGGATTGGAACATCTTGTAGAATCAATATCCTTATAATTTGGAGGGTTTTATGAAATCGATATTAAGCAAAATATAACTATTAGAAAGTTACGAATAAAATAAAGAATTGATGTAAAGAAAGATTGTTTGGATTTGATTGATAGAAGGATCGGATTTGGAAAATTATGAGTATAATACTTTGATTGGTATTTTTATCTTTATATATGATATTGTATAAAGATTAGGTTTTGCTTCCCAGTATTAGTTTTCATTTCCTTTATCAAAAATATATACAAATCTGTATACTATTTAGATAGCACTATCTATAGCCATCTGTTAAAAGCTCGATTGAGCTCTTAACTGTCCTAGATAGTCTTTGACTCAGTGTGGACGTTCATTAAATCAATCAATCAATCAATCAATCAACTCGAATCCTGGATTATAAACTGACTCTGAGAATCTGGAGATCAGAGATCAGAGTCATGATTGATGGATATATCTAATATTAATACTATCTATCTATCTATTTCTCGTCATTACTATTGTTATTGTCATTGTTGTTGCTATTACTATTCCCTTATATCGGTATATCTTAAACATGTATGAATCCTTGATAACTATCAAGATTTCAGATTCCGATTAATATAATCCAAAACTTGAAATATAAGATCACTAAGAATTTTATGTATTTATGTTTGTTTGTATTTGATTGATGGGGGTTAGATTTTTACTTCTACTTCTACTTCTGCTTTTGTTAGTATCCAAAGAGAAAGAAAATGGTGTATTTACCTTTACCAATCTAGTAGTAAGTATTGTAACGGTTCCTTAGAATCAGAGTTGGGATATTGATTGAGCATTAGATATCTATATCTAGCGAGATCTTGCTTTAACTAGGTATATCTATCTGTTGAGGATGATAAATCAAATAACTTATATAGATAGATATATTGAGCATATGCCTAGATAGATATATATGTTATCTAGGTATATAGATATATATATGTATACTGGCTTATTCTCACTCTCATCAGCACTGTACAATCATATATTTTTCTATCTTTAATTTTTAAGATGATAGTTGATATCAAGTCTTTGAAATTTGTTTGAATAACAGAGAATTTATTCATCAATAAGATTCTGGATAATGAGACAGAGTTATAATGATCTGTGGTTCTAATATCGATATTTGGGAGTAGTTGCTCAAGTTGAAAATTTGAGATTCTTATTAATATAGATATGGAAATGAGTATTAGTTTAGTTGGGATTGTGTTTGTGCAAAGGTTACTAATAAGTATCAAGACTAGGTTTTTAAAAAGCTTTCATATAGATGTGTTAGGATATTGTTGTGAATATACAATGAAATATATTCGATACAAGGAGAGTGGAGTAAGATGATAGAGTATTGAGTGTTTAAGTGCTAATGGATTTTTGAGGGAAGGCGTTTGAAGATCTGGACTATGATTGTAAGGAGGCCTTTCAATGTCCATTGTTGATATGGGTAAAAGGATGATTTCATCTGATGTTTTGGGAACACTTTAGGTGATGATATATTGGGATTTGGAAGGACGGTAGGATGTAGAATGTTTAAATTTGATACATATCGGCCGAGTATTGAAAGCAAAGTGATAAATGTGTAAGAGAACTGTTGGTATCACTCCGGTGATACTATTCGTATAGTACTATTATAGTATTTGTTTATTGATTCTTGATTGCTACACTATGAAATGAGGGGGCTATTTATATTGAAGGGGAAGGGGCTAGAGTTCGCTAGTGGTACGGCTCCCTATGTGAGGCCAGTCACATGATATACCGACAAGAACAAAAGCGTGAAGTGAGAATTAAAGCGAGGCTAGAGATCGGATGAATGAATGTATGATGTACCATTTCATATATGATATTTGAGTGTTTGAGATGATACGTGGTCTTGGAATGGCTGAGCTTGTCTCATTGAGTGCCCGCAATAATGACGAGAACAGAGCAGAGCAGAACTCAATAGTTGAAAGTCGTGGTGTTACTAGATGCAATGACTGGAGAGAATACATGTACATTTCTCGCCGAAGCATTGTGCTGACTGTTTTGAGACGAAGAGCTGTAATCATTACATATACATGGCTATCATTTAAAGTTCAAAATACTCAAATTAACTACAATAGTAAGGAAAACTTCAGGATCATATCGGCAAGATTCTCAAACAACTGCCATCATGATCTCAGTTTTTTCAATGTTGGCTTTGGACTTGATCTCTGCATTACACTTCCAACAATCATCAATGAAATGTTTCGGCCACGAACTTTAGCAACGTAAGGGTAGTAGTTGTACCTCGTAAAAAATTTAACGTAACATAACCATGAAGCTTTCAAGGTATGTGACTTCTAGAAGATTGAGTATAGCAAACCTTTGTCGGCTCGTAAGCTTCATCTTGGAGGGTCAGGTCTCAGAAGGTCAAACTTTCCACAGTGCCACTGTAGGTCAGTTCTCACTAACAGGACAAATCATCAGCAAACTACCTTGTAGTTGCGTAGACCTCAGCTGGATGAAAAGAAAAATGCATGACACGCTATCCAGCATTGTAATCTCCCATTATCGGAGTTCTTCAAATAGTTAGTTCTCGACGTCGATTTAATGCATCGCCTTTACCGTTACGATGCCATTTAAAATGCAGCTGAAGGCTTTTCTCACTATGTCGTCCGATTGGCAAGACGAACTTGTTCGCCAGAACTACTGGCTGAAGTGTTGTGGCGTTCGATGGAGATATCTCGGTGCCGCCGTGCCCATTTACCAGGTATCATCATTGATCAGTGTGATGAATCAATTGCCATGCTAGAAAGAACTTAGTTCAGGTTAGAGTACATGGTATGTCTAGGTAGAATGTAGCGTGGAGTGTAAATATGCATAATTTAAGTGATTTGAGTGATTGATTCCCATATACGCTGCATGTGTGGGTGTTGCTCTGAGACTGCGTTATGCATTCGGGCTGTGTTTCTTTCGCCACTGAGGAAGAGGGGTATATTCATCTCGTGGAAGTTCGACTGAATGCATAATTGCTCTCAAATCAATGCCTTTTTTTTTTTTTTTTTTGGACAAAGTGCAATAAACGTCGTTCTCAGCCGACTCAGCTCGAATGTTGTGCTGCGTGCACGCTTGGCCTTCTACCCCAAAAAGTATAAGCCCAAGGTACTCGAATAGGCAACAAAAAATGATAGGGAGAATGTTGAAACATCTTAGAAGGGTCATCGTCGCCAATGGTTTAAAGTGCCCAGGTAGGAATCAAGTAAAAACATATTGTTCTAGAAATAACTTGGCAAGGGGGGAAGTTGGAGTTCTTAGTGGCTTCTAGAAGATCGATTGAATCTTCTGATATCGTAGCCCAGTCATTAAATGGTCTGTGCATACAGCCTCTGTTTGACTTCTATTTCGAACTTTTGAGATCTCGCCAAATGATAAGGGGTGTAGTGTCTCGGAATTGAAAAGTCGCAGAAGCAGCTAATATCCATAGTAGATCAGGGGTGTGAGACTGCTACGGGTTCGTACAGTAGTGTTGCGTCAAGTCGCATTTTCCATTTGTTAGACAATAATCGCTCGCATCATTGAGGCATGACCTGAACATGACGTTGCATCCTCAATATCGTTTAGAATAATATATCGACATATTAGGTAATGCTTACGAATGCGCAAACTCGGTATTTCCGATGAGTACCTCAATGAGAAAGGAAGCTGCTGTAATATGGCCAGTGGAGAATGCATGGCATTGGTAGATCGAATTCTGGCCTAATCGCATTTCCATCCTGAGACAGAAACCTGCTAACCATAATGTGGATATAACGGTCTGACAGTTGATCATTCACGAAAGCCCTATTGCAAGTGAAAATCCTCAGGTACACGTGGGATATCAAGGGATTTCCTAGGAGAACA